CGGGCCCGCGCAGGGTATCGCACTCACTATTTCTCTGCTTTGGCGAGATGCTCCAGCCCCTCGTTGATCTTCTGAGCCGCCATCTCCGCAGTCCGGCTCCCGACGCGGAGACGCAGAGAGTCCGCCTGTCCTTGGGCCCCGAAAGACCCCGAAGGAGGCGTGGGAACGCCGAAGAGGACGCTGAGACAGCCCGGCGGCCGAGCGGCTACGGGGCTCCGAAGGGCTCAAACCAGCTGGGCGCAGGGCGGAGAGCCGGCCCGGGCGCCCCGCCGGGACCCACCGCGCAGGCGCAGCGCGTAAAGGCGGGCCCCGCCCACGACTTCTAACGCAGGCGCAAGGGCACACGGAAGGAGGCGCATGCCTTCGTGCAACAGCTATTTAATGAGCACCCGATATGTGTCAGGCACAGTTCTAGATCCTGGAAAATTGGCAGGGAGTACAACAGACAAAACCCCCCACCATAATAGAGTTTTGCTTTCTCATTCATGTGAGAATGGCATGGGCCTTCTTTATAGAGTTAATTGACTTACAGTTTATCACTTCGGAAGTTTCTTTGCACCACAGTTGGGATAGTATTCTTTCATTCATCCATTCTTTCTTTTGAGCGCCAACTGTATGTCAGCCAATAAGCAAAACAGGCTCTAAACCCTGATACCTGTCAAATAATATTACAAGCTGTGATGAGAGCTCTGAATGTCAAGGTCAGGGAGCTAGGGTCACATGCAACTGTCTGGTAGAAATAGTAGCCAGTAATACAGTTGGCTCCATTCATAATTCATAGTGATTGCAATATCCACATAGATGATGTCCTGCAATGCCTATACAGTCTCTCAGTTTCTGATCTCATATGATCTTTTCTTACACCGAGCTCAGCCACCCATTCCCAGGACCCTACCAATAACTGTGTATCCTCCGTAGTGTCAGTTTACCCTCTCCTGAGATTCCAGCTCACACATCCTAGCATCAATAATTCTTCACCTTCACCAGATTCCTCACCCTTTCCTTATCCTTCTGCTCTTACACTTCCCTCTTTTCCCAGCATAAATTCCATTTCTATCATTCTAGTCACTATTTTGCATATGCTCTCCATGTCGTTGGGTCTCTCTCCTCTCTTTTCTCCTAGCCTGGAAAAACCCCAACTCTCCACCTACTCTTGAGCAAGTGAATTTGGCTGGAGGAAGACAAACCAGCATGCTAACAATACACATTTTAATGATCATAAACATCAAGCAGACCTTTAGTGCTGCTGAGCAACTGTACTCCACTTCCCTGGTCAAATCACTCACCCACTCGCTTGGATGGCTATTCACACCTTCCTTCTCAAAACTCCAACGCGGTCTCTCTGCCTGCCTGCCAACTCTCACTTCTTATTTAATAGAAAATAACAATGAGAAGAGTTCTTCCATTTGGCCTCACCACCCTATCTACCAATCCACTTACATTTGCCAATCAATATTTTGCCTTCTTTTCCAAGAGGACTGGCCTGGACATCTCTGTCTATCCCCGTTTCCTTATTTAAAATTAGTAAAGGTACTACCCACACACAAGACCTTTCATCATTTGATTATCTAGCTGGGCTTTCTTCTATTTACAGGAGGGTGAAAGTGGAAACTACAGGCTTCTTAAGGCCTAGGCACCAGCTAAAGAATACTTCTGCCACGTTTTATTGATCCAAGCAAGCCATAAAGCACGTTCAGTTTCAAAAGGTGGAAAAATAGAAGAGTTATAAAATATTGTGGTCATAGCCGGGCTCGGTGGCTCAGCCTGTAATCCCACGCCTTTGGGAGGCTGAGGTGAGTGGATTGCCTGAGCCCGTGGGTTCGAGACCCACCTGGGCAGCGAGACCTCATCTCTATAATAAATAAAAAAAAAAATCAGCCAGGCATGGTAACGCATGCCTGTAATTCGGCTACTCGGAAGGCTGAGGCAGAAGGATCACCGGAGCCCAGCATGCGAGGCTGCGGTGGCCGGGAGCAGCCACTGCACTCCAGTCTGGGCGACAGAGTGAGACTCCAACTCAAAAAAAATATATATATATTGTGGTCATGACTTCAAGTTCGCACCAACTCTAGGATAACTAAGTATAAGTACTGATGCGAGTGGCAAACCTTATGTTTTTTAGTAAAGTTAGACTTACTAACCATCTAAAGCTATCACCCTCTAAAACCATCAAAAGTGCCTAGATCTGAGGGATCTAGACCAAAAATCTTTTGCCTCCTCCTCATTTTCCTTTGTTCATTCATTCACTATTAAATTATTACTTACTGAGCATCTACTCTGCACAAGACACCGGGCCTGTGCACCCACATGCAACTTGAGCAAAAGGCACAATGTCTGCTCTCACTGAATTTGTAATGGATGAGAGGATGCGATATTCAGCCTAATTCAATTTCAGCATTAACAAAGAAAAGAGAAAAGGAAGGCCATGACAGCCCCTTGGCATTTAAGTGATTATCAGTTACTTGACTTTCTAAAACAAGGATGCTGTGGTTAAGTTTGTGCTAACTTGCATTCACCGTAAGGCGACATGAGGAGGAAGCATGGGAACAGTAAAGCCGTGGCACAGATACCCCCACTTTCTTCCTTTCCCTTTTTCTTTCTATCTTAAGATTGAGGTAGGACTTCAACAGACGTATTTAAACTGAGAAACTAGTTTGGAAGCACTAAGACTGGAAGGTTTGGAACCAATGATAATAGACTGAGATGTGCCGTTGTCCAAGCTAGATACGATGGCATAACTCCAGCATTGGTGACTCATAAAAGTAATTCTAGGTATCACAACAGCTACCACCAGAGGTTAAGCAAAACTTGTCTCTGTGACTGCAACCCACCTCTCTCACCTCCTCTCCTGGGCTTCTTTTCACAGAAGGTGTTCCCTCCTCTCCCCCACAGGCAAGGTGCTGGCCTAAGTGACCCTGTCTGAGCCGACCCTTTCCACTAATTCTGATAATTCCTTTTCTTTATCCTGCCTCAATAAAAATGCACATTCCCAAGCACTCTACTTATCTTGGGTGTGACTAAAAAGATTTACATAAAACTGTGAATGAGGTTTAAAACAGAGTATGCTGACTCCAAGTATTCTCTAACTGATGGGCTTAAATCTGAGAGAGTTTTTTGAGCCTGGGTCCCCAGGTTCCCTTGTCTACACAAATCTACTTCCTTCCTTTAGCCTCATCTGCTGCCAGGATGCAGAATTCCAGGACCTACCTTCCTCAGCCAAATGTTCAGAGAAAAAAAGAGGTCACTGTCATTGCTTGGGAAGAGAGTCAAATGAGTTGCCTTTAAGCCCTCAAATCGTAAATGTGAAAGCATGAGAGCTCCTATATCATTAAGCTTTGCTTGTTTCATTGCTAGCACTTGACAGTGTTATTTTATCCTTTTGTTTTGTTTTTTTAAATATACTGTTAGCTTATGCATTGGCTACAATTCGGAGACCTGGCCAAGAGTTGAGCCATGAGTCAGAAAACCATGACTCTGGGAAATATGAGTTATAAATTAAACATTTACAAATAAACTTTTGGAACCAGTTCTGTTATCATTTTATGGGTTCCTCTCACTGGTAGGATTTTAGAAAATTGTTCTTGACTTTTGTCTGGATAAAACTCATAAACACCATTATGATCTGTATTTTTTTTGTTAAGTATTAATGAATACATTGATTTAAAAATTTACTCCTGAATCTCTATGAGATTTTGTTGAAAAGATGCCAAACTCTGTAAAGTATTTTAAGATCGTATTTTCTCAACCAAACTTGAGGACCAAAGGCTAGGAACACCCAACCTCAGGAGATCCTGAGAACATGTGCCCACTGTGGTTGAACAGTGGCTCGGTTATATACACTTTAGAAAGGCAGAAGTTGAGCCGGACTCGGTGGCTCAGCCTGTAATCCCGCGCCTTTGGGAGGCTGAGGTGAGTGGATTGCCTGAGCCCACAGGTTCGAGACCCGCCTGGGCAGCAAGACCTCATCTCTACAATAAATCAAAAAAATCAGCCGGGTGTGATAGCACATGTAATTCTGGCTACTTGGAAGGCTGAGGTGGAAGGATTGCTGGAGCCCAGCAGGTCGAGGCTGCGGTGGCCGGGAGCGGCCACTGCACTCCAGTCTGGGTGACAGAGTGAGACTCCAACTCAAAACAAAAAAAAAGAAAGAAAGGCAGAAGTTGCCCAGGCTTAGTAGTTCAGCCTGTAAGCCAAGCACTTTGGGAGGCCAAGGCAAATGGCTTGCCTGAGCCCACAGGTTGGAGACTAGCCTGAGCAACTTGTGGAGGCTTCGTCCCTACAATAAATAAAAAATTAGCCGAGTGTGGTAGTGCGCGCCTGTAGTTCCGGCTACTTGGTAGGCTGAGACGGAGGGACTGCCAGAGCCCAGCAGGTCGACACTGGGGTGGTCATGAGCGTGCCACTGCACTCCAGCCTGGGCAACAAAGTGAGACTCCAACTCAAAAAAAAAAAAAAAAGACAGAAGTTACAAGAAACCATAAATCGATACATGTGAGATTTTTATTAGTTTGACCTAGTAACAACAGACATTTACAAGTGGGGGCTTGTAGGTCATAGGTGGATTCAAATATTTCTTGACTGGTAATTTGTGGTTCCTAGCTAAGGAATTTTGGAAATCAGTAGAGGAGATTTTTTTTTTTTTTTGAGTTGGAGTCTCACTCTGTCGCTCAGACTGGAGTGCAGTGGCCGCTCCTGGCCACCGCAGCCTCGACCTGCTGGGCTCCAGCGATCCTTCTCAGCCTAGAGGAGATGTTTTAGTGAGATAAGAGGGCTGGAAAAAAAAAACATTGCCAGGTCTACCGACATTTAGATGAAGGTTTATGCCTGGCAGACTTCAGAGAAGCTAGGTAAGTGTCCCCTAAGGTTCCCGGAGTATGGGAGTCCCCAGTAGAAGGCTTTGCAAGGCCACAAAATACTTTGATTTCCTTCTTTATTTGTTATGTGATGTTATGCCAGAGTCAGGTTAGAAAACAAACCTTACTACACAGGGTAATAGGGTAATAAATCCCCATCTGGTGAGTCCTTATCAGGAGTGACTACACAAGCCTTTTTATCAGGAACTTGATAAGAGGGAAAAAAGTCAGGTTTAGTCCTCAGAGATTAAGATGGAGAATTCTTTCTCCACATTTGTGTGTCCAGTGCCTACTCAGCAACTCCACGCTGAAAGCCAAAACCTCAGACATGACCTGCCCACATCTGCACGGCTGACGTTCCCCTCACCTATTCTTCCTCAGTCCTGCCCACGTTGGTGCACGGCGTGGTATGAAGGGTTCACCTTTCTCCTGGCCCAGACTCTTGGCGTCATCCTCGTCTGCTCACTTTCT